GGTAGTCCTCTTCCATCACCCATGATCTCTGGCAGATTTGGTTGATAACCCAAAACACACTGAGCCGGTGAAAATCCTCTGAAATTCGATAATCTGTTCATAGTTTGTGCACATTGAATGACAGCCACCCGGGTCAAGGTTGCTCCTCTGATCTCGTTGCCATGCACCAACTTCAACATCATCTCCTTCACCGTGAGGATCTTCCTTTCCACCGTGCCATGTGACCAGTGAGAGTCTCTGGCAACCAACACCTCTTCAATGCCATACCTGTCCAGCAGATCTCTGAAGTCACCTCTCAATGAACCATCCTGATCGACCTGCACCTTGTCTGGGCTTCCGAAGACCTCCAACCAATCCATCATGGATTTTCTGCACTGCGAAGATTGAGACTTCTTGGGTCTTCCAGGACCTTCACCTGAGCACAGGTATGATGCGAGGGTGTAAGAAGTGGCCATGTCAACCATGATCAAAAAGAAATGCATCACATCATCTTGATCAGGGATATGGGCAATGTCCATTGCGACACATTGGTTGAAGCTGTTGTACTTCAGAATTGCTGCTATTGGTCTGGCAGGGCTTCTCCGTTCTTGCTCACATGTGGGACAGGAAAACAAAGATGTTGCTTTGATTGCCTGATTCGAAGCTCCTGCTAGTTTGAGGTGTCGGCTAAAGTGCTCTTTGTACAGGGAGTGAGAGTATTGACGATGCACCTTAGCTATTGCACTGCGCAGCAATGTCGGCACTTCTTCCCAGCTTTGAAGCTCTTGTTCTTCTTCTTGTCGAAACATCACTTCTGAGCTTCTTTTGAGTGCACTGTGATACACATCAATTTCATCCAAATAATACTTCACTTCTCCACATTGTTCTTCCAGCATCACTTGTCGTTGAATGCCGTCTAGGATCATAACACCCAGCTGTGGAGTCCACTGTCCCAGCAAACTTGAGATGTTTCGTCCACCCTTCTGTCTCCGACCTTGCACATGAGCATGATCATGGCTTTCATCACAGCGAAGGCTCAAGGTCGAAGCGAATACCGGAGATGATGTCACAAACCTGGTTGGCTTCAATACATAGTCGTTATTGCCATCCTTCAAATCACTCATGCACTGATCCATTCGTGATGTGTAATGTGGAATATGTTCAATGTTTTCCAAGATGTACTTCCAGGCTTGACTCGACAGCGGATTTTCCAGCAAATAATGACGTCCACCTGCAATCTGAAGTTCACACACCTCTTTCACAAACTCTAAGTGATCCTAGGCGATGTCTTGTTGCAGTTTGCGAACATCTTCATCCAGAAAATTGCTGAGAGGAGTCCACGGGTCGCAGTTGAAGCCCATGGTCACCAGCCGTGGTTTCTCAATGCGAATCTCCTCAAGTACAGCCTGTCTGTCTTCCTTCTTGAGAAAATTGTCGCCCAAAAGAAGATCTCGAGGTTTGCCAAATGACATGTCATTGTCCTTGGCAACGGCTGTGACAACTCCACCATCTGCTCCACTGTAAAGTTCTTTTACCAGCGCCTTTTTCACATGCGACTTTGCACCTTTCCTCAACTCTTTCCATAGTGCTCGACCATGTGCTTTTGCCTCTTCTGCCATCTTCTGCACTTTCCTCCTCAGCTTACTCTTCATGATGCGGATGGTCTCCACATTGAAGTCCTTCGCCTTCAGTTGATGGAAGACTTCAACTGTCTCACCAGCAAGTCGTGTCTCCTTCTTCTTGTTCCTTGAATGCCCAATGTCCAAGAGCAAATGACCTCCTGAACCATAGTCCATCATAACTTTCTCTGATCCAATCGATGTAAATTGAATCGTGGGCTTCGGAGTTGCTGTGAGATCAATCACCGCACCAAGTTCTCGCAATTGAGGAAGTCCAAGCAACAATGGCACATCTGAGTTAGGAAGACGATGGAGTGCAACTCTTCCTTTCTGTCCAACAATATTGATGTCAATCCACTGTTGATGTTCCACGACCACCGGTGCGTCAGCATTGACACCCGTCAACACCTTGCTAGATTGCTGGAAAGATGTTTCATTTCCAAAATTTCCAATGAATTTGTCCAAGGTCCGGTCACCGCCACAACCAATCAAGGCTGCTGTGTCCACAACACACATTCCAGCGGGAACCGTCTCGCCACTTGCATTGGCCATGAAGGTCAGGCTGTGGGGAATGGATGATGTCTCAACATCTTGAATCATAAATGCATCCACACTCAACCAAGGCGCTTCTGTTGTCTCCTGCTCATAGTCCATCATGAAAGTGGGCATCTCAAAAGCCTGAGGCTCGCATTCATCCTCCATCATCCTCAAACACGTCAAGGCATCCTGATATGATGACAGCAATTGGCCTGATGCTGAGGCCAGCATGGCAGCAGCCATACCTGCACGTTGGAGAAATCCTCCTTTGCGACCTCTTTTCTTTCCCTTCTTGCCACCTTTTGAACTTCCGGCCGATGAACCTGAGCCTTTTGGACACGTCTTGTCCCCACGCCAATGTCCTTTCTGCCCACAATCATAGCATTGCGTCCTTGCTTTGATCTGCTGCAGCTTATCTTGTAGTTGACCAGCATTGAGGGTCAGCTTCCCATCCAGAGCAATAACTGTCCGATTGTGTCCAATGGCATTGGGTTGAAATCCTCGATTTGTCTTGCCATCACGGACTGCTTGTCGTTTTCGAGCATATTCGGAAGCTCCTTTGCCCATCTTCTGAATGGTTGCTGCAAAGACATCAAGCTCATCAAATGAGAGGTCCTCCACCGTCATGACCTCGATGGCATGCTCCATCTCCTCGATGTCGTACTGAAGCTCTTCCTCAATCTCGTAAACAGGAACATCTTCCTCCACCTGTTCGTCTTGCCAGTCATCAACTGCATAGCTCTCTTCATTCTCTCCATCATAGCTTGACCATTCCTCCTCAATCGGGAATGCCCATAAGCGCTTACCACCTGGGTTGTAATTGCTCTTCTGTCGTTGCTTGTATCCATTCTTCCAACCTTTGCCTTGTGGCTCTTCACCTCCATCCAGCTGAATGAGCATCGCTTCAACAATCTTGTCCCAATCATACTCATTTCCAGCTTGTCCAAGGATGGCCCGATGCTGTGAAGGGCTAACTCCTGCATTGCGAAGCAGAAAAAAGGCTTGGAGATCTGTCGACAGCTTTGTGTGTCCCTGAATACTCACCTTCTCTTCGACTGATGTAGTCTTGAATGCTTTCACCCAGCTTCCGGCGTCCTTTATCGAAGAAGTAGTCCTCGAAGGTCTGGGTCTTCAGGAGCGGCGCCTCCTTTTCACATGCTGACCTAATCGTCTTCACCACCAACTGAACTGCAACTTTAGGTCCAGCATTCGTTGAAGGTTCAGCTTCACTGATCTGCAACCACTTTTAGGCAACGATCTCTGGCTTCCTGTGGCACAATGTCCATGCTCTGCCATGCAAGGCGTTCTTCAATTTTGCTGCATAGCTTGCTTTCTCTTCCTTCTACCCCGTTTGCAATCCCAACCATATACGTTCTTCATATTTTTCTGCCAATTTGGGGCTTCCATCATCATAGTGCACCACATTGCTCTTCGGGTCGACATACAATAAATGTCAACACAATGTCCACAAATCCGTGCAAAATTTCGTGAAATTGCGGTTGTCCAACTTATCAAAATTTATCAAATTTAAATTCCTGCATCTGCCTTGGATTGTCCAATCACCAACACCCGTGAACAAATTCCGGTGTGATTGTTTCCTAAATTGCCCTGGGTCTATTCTCCCAAACCAATGTTCAAGCTCTATACGGCCAAAACAAAAATTCCACCAATCAATTCGATCATAAAGAGATTTTGGCATACCACCTAGAGCTAAGGTTCGCGCTACCAATTTCAAATGTGCTATTTGCCCTCGAACACAATTTTCCAGCCACGCGCACATAGGCTCAAAACCTAGGAAATTCGAGCCAAAATAGCCCGTCACATATATCGTTTAAATATACAAGCTAAGAGTAGGAAAAAAAAAATATATATATATGCCAAATTATACATACAAATCTTCGCAATATATTCCTTATCAAATTATTTCAAAAATATATTTTTCATCTTTAAATTTCATAAATTAATATAATTAATTAAATATACACCATATAAACATTACACCCAACAATCTAAAATATAAATTCAATTGTATAAAATAATATTAAATATCAATCGTTTATATCCAAATATTCCCATTTTAAACCCTAAATAATTAAACATATAATATAATACCAATTAAAATAGAAGTAACTAAAAAAAAATAAATATTCAATATCGTATTTTTAATCGTACATCGGATTTTATATAATTACATATATAGACCCATATTCTATATTTGTAAATATAATATTAAAATATGTATATATGTGCACATATTTTCGAATAATATCAAATCAACATATTATATATTTATTAGTTCCATATTTTTTCCGAGCTTACTTGATTTCACGCATGGGTACCTAGTAAATCAACAAATGAATTAAACAATGCTTTAACAATTGTCGCCAAAAACGATCAAACATGATCAAACATTTCTATTGTTCCAATTAAGCTCCACGCATGATGAGTCAACGGAGGGGTCAAAGGCTTGATCAACGGGTAGTAGGTGCTCCCTGGCTGTTGTGAGTGGATCCCATTGATTTGACATGCCAAGTGATGCCGAGTGACTCTGATTCTGTGTTTATTCCCTTCCGTTCCCGGAGCAGTTTACCTTTACTTGCTGCTGTAATCTTGCCAGGTGAACGATTTGAATAGAATTTGCGCGGCTTCCTCAGCTTGACTCTTGACTTGTTAAAAACATTTGCAAGATTGCAAAGCATCAATTATCATGGCATTATCAACACAGTTGTTGCCTTTTCACCAAAATGGGATTCACCGGTGAAGGCAAGAAATCTGAGCACTGCAAGACACATGGATTCGCGCTCAAACCACTCCGCCCCAATTGAGACGGATCACGAGATCGGGATCGTGTGTTGCCTCCACAAATGTTGCGGCCCAGCAAGTTCATGTTGGTCTTTGACAAAAGTTGCTACAACATTGCTGCCCTCAAGCAAGACTTATAGAATACCACATGATTGAAGCTGCAAAACTCACAATAGAAAATAACATTCACTTGGGGAGAGCCTAAGATACCAACGACCACGGAAGCATCGTGGGATCTTTTCTTGGGACCAAAACGGGTCTGGCAGCTGCCCGGACAGTGCAGGCTGCGCTCGTGCATTTTGATCACTGAGCTAAATCTCAACTTCTGTGGTCAGCTCATCGGCTCATCGCCCTCGGTTTGTCCAGGTTGTTCCACTCACTCTTCAAACAACATCAAACAATTACATAGGAACTTTCAATGTCCATCAATTGTCAGCTGACACCAGTGCTTCCATGAGTCTGCCGGATAACGCCTTGGAAGCCTGCTTCCAGTGATCCGGTTCCTGCACGAGTAGCAGCATGAGCCTCTACACTAAGGTACCACAAAAGAAAACCCTGCAGTTTCAAACAGGTTCAAGGTCTCAATTTCTCTTTCCGGTTCCTTGTCAAGAAATCTGCAGAATTTAACAGTCCTCTGTAAGGAGGCTCACCGACACTGATGCCTCGGGTCCAGCGTTTGATCCACCAAAACACTAGGAAAGGTTCTCGTGTTTTGTTGTTGAGAGAGCACCTTTCCACTCCGGCTGGCCATCTTTTCCTCAGCTTCTCTAAGGACCTCAGGTTGCAAGAATGGACAAGTCTGTTGTACTTCCATGTTCTTGGAATGAACCCTTGTTCTAGCCAGGTAAGTGGGCCCTAAAGCCAGCTTGCTGCCTAGCTAGTTCCAAGAGACTTCAAGAGGTAAATGAATGTAAATGAGCTAGAAAAGGAGAGGTCATTCTTTGCCGCAAGAGATTCCAACCGGGAGCAAGTGACCAAGTGCGGCTAAGGTTGCCTTGGTGGCTTCGCCAACTTCATCTTCAGGAACAGCTTTGCCATCCACCTGACCATACTCACTTTTGACGTACTTCATACTTTAGAAGGAAGCAAGACTAAACAAAACAAGGAAGAAACATCTAAAGGTGTAGAGAAAAGTAATGACAAGACTTCTCATACGAGTTCCCTGCCTCAAGCACGCGCCAGCCGATTTGCACACCAGCGGGGATTGCGGCGCCTTGCCGAATTTGGATGTCCAAAACCGTTTAGTCGTGTTCTTGCACTTATTAGTTTGCAGTTCAGCCAAAGACCTAAGGCCTAGTAGCATTCTCTCCAGGGCTCCTGTCTGTTAAGTCCAGGTATATAATGAGATTGGTGATGAAAAACATTGGAAAGCCCACTTACAGAGGGATCGTGCACAACTTCCTGTGAGATGCTATACTTCGGAACACTCAATCTGCAGCCTTCGTCTGCCAAGTCCACCACAAGAGCTCCGTCCAGCCTCGAAAGCTTAAAATATACTGTCTTCCTAAGCATATAACTATAATATGCTTCAAAACCATTACTGTATAGGACTGTGCACTTCCAAGCTTGAACTGCACTCTCTGCAAAAAGGTCAGGAAATCATACTGGAATCACAGTTAAGTAAAAGCTCGATTATTTCTGAGCAAAGTTTTGCACCGTCAAAGTGCCCGACTCCATGCCAAAGGGCCGTGACCTCATGAGATAATGAAACAGCATCCAAACTGAGAGGAACTCTGGCACTGACGGACTTGTTTGGAACTTATCAATGACCCAGAACAAGTGGGAAGAAGTCAAAGGAGAGAAGCAAAACCAAATGATACAATTTTCACCTGTCAGAGTGTGCTCTTCAATCGGGGTGCTTGGCTTCTGGCTTGTCATTGAAGGCATTTTTTGAGCAAAGCATCACCTTCAACATTGACTGCGCTGCTGAAATTTTCTACTAAAGTACCAAATCGCACCTCCCTGACTGCTGCAGGACCAGCACCTCGGATTTCGGATCGTAAGTTTCCGTGTTAAACACAATTTCCCAAAGGCGCACTGATCCTTCCTTGATTTCTCTTCTCCTCTTTCTTCTTTTGCTTCTTTTCTTGCTGCTCCAAGACCTGGCCACAGCCCTGGACACTTGGAAACCCATCTCAGTCCAAAACGAGTCCAACGACACTTCTATATGGTGTAAGCACACCTACGGCCTTACCACCCACATCCACCTATGCTTTAAAACTTGACCTACTCATCTCATCTTGCATGAAAAAGAGAACACGAGAAACGATGCCTAACTACAGAAAAATAGAATACACTAAAGCATTCTACATAGACAAAACCAAAAAACCTCATGAGACATGCCTCCGGCGGGAAGACCTGCGGACCGATCCGCCGAGGTGGCTCCGGCAGCTTCTGTGGCCCAACCTGGTTCTGAGCTCAGTGGGAAACCCATCGGTGGGAAAAGCTTTATAGAACAGCTTCACCGTCATCGTGCTGCCTTAAAGCATTTCTTTTGTATCCTGAAGGTGCCTGGTGCCTTGTTTCAAGGTGCATAGCGGAGGGTGCTACAATTCATCTCTGTTCCAGCTGGCTCGGAAGGGATTGCTACCAACAACAACAACAACAACAACAACCCATGATGTAAAGAAAAGATAAACATGTTCGCAACGTAATTGCAACTGGGAGGATGGAATCGACCTCGTCCTCCTCTTTGCCCATTTTGGTATCCTTCTTCTCATTCTTTTCTTTCTTTTCCTGACACGGTTTGCCCACACTTTCTTGCTATTGCATTGTTGTGCTGTTGCCAATCTCCTTCTTTCCATCCTTCTCTTTCTCCTTGCGCATGCTTGTCCATGAACAGTGCACGAAAGGGCATCACTCAAGCTCACCAAGCCTTCTTCTCTTTCTTCTTTTCGTGTTTCTCTTCCTTTTCTACCTCAAAACCCAGTGGCCAAGCATACAAAAGCCATCAAAAGCCATGCTCGCAACGCTGAAAACGGATAATGCAATCAGCAAACTCAAGATATGCAGCGAATCATCCGAATTATTTCAGTTGTTTGAACATAATGTATTTGATAACTCTAAAGATTTTTCATGCATCCCTGGATTTCTCAGAATGTGTCTCATCATGATCTAGCCCATACAAGTAAGAGTTCAACTGGAGCTGTATCGGAAACTCAAGAATTCCTAGATCCTCCTGTTGATTCTGAATTCTGTCCGCTGACTGTTGTATCAAAGAAAAGATTGTGTGCTCTTTTCCAGGAGTGGCCAACATATTTCGCTCTACCTATATATTTGTTGATGTTTTATGCACTGTTTGTACGAACCAAAATGACAATGAACATCAATGAACATTGTCAAAACCGTTTCTTCCTGAATGGGCCCAAAACCTAGCCCTCCACCATCATCATATCATGAACTTCCAATGTCCATTTCAACAACCTGATTGTTTTGTAGGGTTGTAGGGCATATTATTTATTAAGTTCTCATGAAACAACATGTACCACATCTGTGACTTCACCCGTGCATTCAGTTTGGTGGTTCCCTGCCAAAAAACGGCAGTGATTCGTGCAAGGTCCAAATTTGCTTCTTTGAACTTTGTTTTCGAGTTGCTGAGTAAAGCGTTCGGCATTTGAGGTAGACAAAAAGATGTGGGCCTTGTGTTTTTTATCTTTGCTTGCTGTCTTCTCCTCAGAATGGTCCTCAGCAAAAAACAAGGAGCTTGGTTCGCTGTATCTGTGGCAATTGGCCAGAAAGGTGACTGTGATGGTCCTCATCTTTGGTCTTCTTTTCTTTTTTATGTTTTTTGCCAGAACCAGCATCCTGAAAACAGGAATGAACTGAAGAATCAGTTGTCATAACCAAATGCGCTTTAAGGTGCGCTCGAGTTGGCGATTGGACAAAGTCACGCATCATCAACAATGTTTAAGCACCACTCAATCAAGTGGGACGGCTCAAATTAGGAGCGGCAGCGCAAGCAACCAAAATCCGAACGGAAACCTGTGCGCACTGGTCTGGTTTTTTGGAAATACCCCACTGCACGTTCTTAAGTTTTAGTCCGAAACAATCTTTTGACCGGTTGTGACCGGTACAATTTCTATTTTGTCCCATAACCATGCAGGCACTTTGCTCTAGCTAGTACTTCCAAAGAAAATGAAAGCGAACATTTGGAAGAAATGGCGGTTGATGAAACGTTTCTTCCGTTGGCAGCCATGGCAGCAGTTGAAACTTGAAACACAAGCATGTCCGGCATGAAACCAAGGTGCATGACATCAGCCAATGTTCTTTGTTGGTAAGCTGGCTTTGCTTTCGAACAGGTCAGCGTCTCAGTGCTCGTGCTGGCGAACTGGTTGGTTTAGCAGATCAGCTTCCCTTCACGAACCCGTCATTTAGGCAGGCTTTCTTTCATGGAGCATCGGCGCAGGGCCTCGAAAGTTCTTCGAACATAGTTTCTAGCGCCATCCAAGTGAGAGGGCGCAGCGGTTGACATGGCTCATCAAACTCTGGTCGCAAGTCACGATGAGGCTTGGCGGCGTCATCAAGATCGTCTGTGCCCTTCTCGCGCTTTGAATCTGCTAGATGAACTCTGGCGGGGATACTTAACCGACAATCGGCTGCGCCGCGCCGTCTTAATACCTTTGTCGTAACCCACAAACATCCAGCCGCGCTGAATCTATGGGACTCGAAGCTGCTGCCGGGCGTTGGCAATGCTGAGCACGGAGGAGTTTTGATTGCAAAAACCTGAAGTGACTCGTCGAAAACCTCTTTGGCATCCGTCGCTCCAGTCGAAGGCGCGTTTTCACCGTGGGGTATCCACTCTCATTCAGCCCGATTGCGCCAGATGCATGCAAACCAGGCCCTTGAGAAGCTTCTTCAGACTTGTCAGATCTTTCCAAGCCAAGCTTCGTGAGTGCTTTTTTGCACGACCTCACTTCAACTGCCTTCGTGAAGTCACCGCCCAAGTTGACAACCCGCTCTGACACTTTTCTCCTCCACCTCAGCAGCAGTCAAGCGATTGAATCGATTCTGGCAACTGTCCTTGAAGCTGTCACGCTGTTCAGTGTGGTATGGTCTCTTCTCTGCTTGCTTCTGGGCCTGCTCCAAATCTATGAGAAGTTCACCAAGATCAGCGCTTAACTCTCAGGTGGTGCAATCCTCTCCAGTATGTTCCAACTTCCGCAAGAGCAAGTGTTTGCTGAGCGCTTGTAATTTTCCAACTGCAGCCCACGGATCCGCTGATGAAACCGCAGACCTCAACTGCTGACTTCTGCAATGGGACCCACATTTTGCCAGCAGAGAGTTGTACTCAGAGGGCCAAGGCATCCCCAAACGCCCGCGCCTCTCAGGCATAGATGAGGCATGGCGCGCCGTCACGCGTGACTGCTTCATAGCAAACCTGGAGGGGCTTAAGCCCTGAGGTCTTGGACAGGTCAGCCCTGGAAAGCCACTTGAATTCACGCAAGCGGCCTTCAGCCCCAGAAAAGGATTAGATGAGACAAAGCTTACCCTGACCAGCCATCTGTCCCTTCTCATCCGACATTGCCCTTGAGCCGAAGAGGCTCGAGCTGCACGGTCAGCTTATCCAAGGCGAAATCTCAGTCTTGAGGTTTCAGCGACGCTCAGCGGGGTGCACAGAGGCCAAGAAGACTTGTGCTTGGGGCCTGCGGGGCTCCACATGTCATGTGGGTCAAACGCAAAGGCTCTGCGCAACAACTGCGGTAGCTAGGGTCCCGAGAAAAGCGGCTAGGAACGCTCAAAGGCATGGCGACCCAACACCCCTCCTCCACTAGCGATTTGGCTCAAGGCCTAATGGAAGCAGTCCCCCAAAAAGGCTACGGCGTAGTTAGTGACCCCGTTTTTTGCGATTGCGCCAAGGATGGCTTTGGTTGAACATGTTAAAAATGGGGGTTCTCGGCGGTGTTAAATGTCATGTCTTGTGATTGGCGTTCCCAGTCAAGCTCCGTGTTCATGGTGTTGCTTTTTCGCGGCGGTCACAAGATTTGTTGGTTCGAAATGTCGCATTTTGTATAGCTTGTCTGCTTAAACAAAACTTTCGTGCTTCTCACTCTCATATGCAGTGGGCGGCTCCCATATCACGCAAACTGTTTTTCTCAATGGCACACCACCTTGCGACAGAGCTCTCCCGCTGCCTGCCACAGATCTTTGGTCGCATTGTTGCGAAAAATGCAGGATTTCACACACAGCATCAGCGATGTTGCAGCTGCGTTCCTTCTTGCTATGGATCGTTGAAGGTAGGTGACATCATCTTCAAAGCACGTCCAAACCAACGTCATTGGCCCCCCTCTTGTTGTAGAGTTTGATTCACTTTGTACTTTTGGCTCAATGTTTCGCCCGATACGCGCTGCGCTACCGCCATAGCAGAAAAGCGAGCTCCCGCGTCGTTCGCTTGCAGTCAACCTATATAGGCAAACCTGGTGTGTTCGACCACAGGTCCAACACATCTAGTACTGCCACTTTGGGGAATTCACCACCCCCACCTTCCAACGTGTGTGTGTGTCACACTCTGTTTCCAAGAGCTTTTACACGCAGGGGGCCGGAGCCAGGTGCGGGGTCTCCGGCACCTGGGCGCAAACGTACCTGCGATCAACTGTTGTCCAAGCTGTTCTACTCTCTTTTTTGCTTTCATGGTGGTTTTCATGATACGTCCCCCAAACCAGGTTTCCATGCACGGCGTTAATTCGGTCTGCTAAGTAATCAGTAACTAATTGTCTGCAGTCATGCATCACGAGAACACGTTTTTCAAACACCTTCAAGTGATCGGACGCTTCACCTTGCCGTTGAGCCATTCCTTTTCTCGGGGAATTGAGTTAACTGAAAACCCAATGTCAAAGTGCAGGGTGTGATCCCCGTCACTGGGGCGCTGTTTTCATGCCGGAGTATCACTGACGGATTTTGCTGCTTTCCGCACACGTTGGATTATCTTAACCGACTTCGTTTCACCACTGTATTCCCCAAATCCAAGCCGCCGGGCACCACGGTTTTTACGACCGCCGGGTATACGGAATGTCAAAGCCGCCGGGCATACGGTGAATGACCCCACACAACCCCCCCCCCGGCCGAGTTCTCTACTCCCCACCTAATTAGGGTAACAGACGGAAATGGTACTCGACACACTTGTGCGTCGGTGCCTTTCCCTCTGTTGTCCCTGTTCTAGTCTACTCTACCCGGGCGGTTTAAGACTAAAGTCCCGCTCCCTAACTATTGCACCTAATTAGTTTCCGCTAAGTAATCGGTAACTCTAGAGCGCTAAGTATTCAGACACACACATGGACATACACCCCCTCCCTGCCCCCGCTTTCTTTCTTGCGTTTTTCGTCGTTTCTTGGGCTTTCTTTCAGGCTTTTTAGGTGGTTCTTGAAGCTCGTTTCCCTGCCCCGGTCAAGGGCTAAGTGTTCACCTTTTGCTACACCTATCTTTCTCTCCTGCCCTTTTAGCGCTGCTCTTTCTGTTTTTCCGCCAGAGCGCCGCAAAGCGGCTGAGTGTGTGTGTCACACTCTGTTTCCAAGAGTTTTTACACGCAGGGGGCCGGAGCCAGGTGGGGGGTCTCCGGCCAACGAAGACACCCCCGACCTGGGTGCAAACATACCTGCGATCAACTGTTGTCCAAGCTGTTCTACTCTCTTTTTTGCTTTCATGGTGGTTTTCATGATACGTCCCCCAAACCAGGTTTCCATGCACGGCGTTAATTCGGTCTGCTAGGTAATCAGTAACTAATTGTCTGCAGTCATGCATCACGAGAACACGTTTTTCAAACACCTTCAAGTGATCGGACGCTTCACCTTGCCGTTGAGCCATTCCTTTTCTCGGGGAATTGAGTTAACTGAAAACCCAATGTCAAAGTGTGACATCATCTTCGAAGCAGATCCAAGCCAACATCATTAGCCCCCCGCCCAACCCAACCTTCCGAAGCGTGTGCATGTGACATTATCATCTTCGAAGCACATCCAAACCAACATCATTAGCCCCCTACCCCACCCCCCCACCCCCATCTTCCAAAGCGTCTGTGCATGTGACATCATCTTCGAAGCACATCCAAACCAACGTCATTAGCCCCCCACCAAACATATCAAACATACACCCACACGCATACCTACTAATGTCATCCAAACCGAAAGACAAACAAACAAAACAATCATCTGGGGTCGCAAACAACGCCGTTGGCAAAAACAAGCATGTCCGGCATGAAACCAAATCAATCGGATTTCTGAACGAACATTCGTGTTTAGGATGGTGATAGCGATGGCTTGTTCACTTCTTCCAGTAACAGAAGTTTGAGGCAGCACAATGTTGACAAATGTGAGCAACTCTTCAAGATTCACTCCAAAAAGCTAGTAGATCATCCAAGACCAAGACTGTCAAAAGTTGTCAGTAACGTTGGGCTTCAAGTGAATTGATTCAGGTCAAACAGGGGCCATTCCTCGGCGTTTTCCATACTTATCGACCCGTTTATTTCAGAGGAAGAGCCTAAACGCTGGGCATTTCTAGGCTTTGGGGAGAGAGAGAGAGAGCGCGTTTTTTTGCATGTTCTAGAAGTACGGTACAGTCCTCAGCTTTGCTCTTCTTTACTTTCTTGGCTGGTACCGGATCCGCCTGATTCAATGCCAACACAGCCGTATGGAGAAGTCGTAAATCACACAAGTCCATCAGTCGCTTCAAAGCAATTTACACTGAAAGTCGCAAGCAAACCAATCCCATGGAGAAACACTTGAAGGCTGTCCATGGTGTCAGTGCCAGAAATACATCATTATTCCATTTAATAAACCAGCATCAGTTGTTTGGTGAGATTGGCTACCAGCATGCTTGCAAAAGATCCATGCAATGTGGACAATTGACTGCAAATCCCACCTCGCTTGATTCGCTGTCTTTTCTCTTCTTGCCCATGGCTAACCAGTGCAGCTAGCTAGCGTGGGTTGGATACCCATAATTCTGTCTTATGGCGGTCCGATGGAACAAGTAGCTTCCAACATTGCACATTTGGCTACAAACACAACTTACCGTTTCGAATTCTCCGCTAGTCAGCCGATACTCCAAATCGAACTCTTTAGCATTTGAAGCAGCTGACTCCGTTGTTGAGGCTTGGACCTTGCTCATGATTCTGCTGATGATGACATCATTACTCACTATCTGCAAACAGCTCTGAGAAGCAGTTGCCCAACTAACGCCACATCATGCCAAAGGTGCACTTCTAGAATCATGATTCCATGCGCCTCACCACTCCAGTGTTGTGAACAAGCCTTGGTGTGCAAAAGCAAGGACACAGCAACATAATTTGTGTTCCAAGTATCAACAAAGTGGTGACATCGACCATCAAGTGGACAAGGGACGTCTCTTCCACTTCATGCTTCGCCTTTGGGCTTCCTCCCCAAACGAGTGAGTACCTGCATGTTCCGATGAGGCGGCAAGTTGCAATACCAAGGAACTTAGGGAGAATCCTTTTGATGCGGATAGGATGTAGATAGAGGAGTCATGCACTCCTTCGCACAACACAAGAAAGCCCACATTCATAATGTCACTCAAGAGAACTTTCACCGCGCACCAGCGACCGTAGAAGATGTGTCCTTTCCCGTGAATTCACACATCTACAGCATCTGATGTTCAATGTTCTATTGAATTGTTAGGGTGCGGTCACAAACGTTCAATTCTGAGGTTGGCACCAACCTCTTTTTTGTACAGGGCCTTTGCGGTGTGCCGCCAGCCCAAATCCAAGATCCTCACATGAGGGAAGAGCATGCAAATGCTGAGACAAAGACATAAGTGTTCGTGAAATCAACACTGACATCCTGAAAAGGGCACCCTCCCGCTCGACAATGACTCGAGCAGTTTCCCTGGAGGTGAGCAGGGAATGTCAACAAAGCAGTTTTACAGTGAGGATATGGCTTGGCTACCTGCGGACACATGTTGAAACTCTTGAGTGCAAACCTCTGGAATGCCGTTGCACAAGTTTTGTAGTTCCCATATATATTCCATATGTGATATACAGTGGATCCGCCTCATCAGAAGCTTAGTTTCGCTGGCTGGAAACTTTGCATGAATCTGAGCAAAACAGCACACAGCTGACGCGGCTGAGCCTTGTTCAAACCCTATCAAAAATCTCTTCTTACGGGCTCTTCCTTTGCACATTTCTTTTGCGATACTTTTCTCGGCTTGCCGTTTGGCTTTCACGCACTGTATTCTGCACAAAACTGCTCTCGAAATCTTTTGTGACTGTGTGTTTACTTTTCGCAAAGGCATCTTACATTATCTTACATTAATATCTCTTCAAGTTGTCACATGGGAGGTTTTGGTTGCTGCTCGGTGCAGTGGCAATGCCCTAAGTGAGCAGCTCAGGGCCGTGCCAAAACAAATGTCTCATAGAAAACCATGGCGTCTCAAACCACTGGATAGAGGCCTCTTGCAAGTGCCTCTAGAACAAGTAAAGATTGGAACTCTGTCAAGCATGCCATAGCGGAACATGCCATGATTGCTACTAAGCAAAGAATTCCTCGGCAGGATCAAGGTCCCGGCCACCATTTTCATGACATTGCATTACTGATTTCGCTTGCCCATCACTGGACTCATCGCATCGAAGACCTTTCTGAGCTGTGGCCAGCAAGCAGCGATAAATGCGATAACAATTACAGATGCAAACTTTTTACTCCTCTTGTCCTTTGAATGCATGCATTGCAAATAGAATCAACTAGAGGTTCAACAGAGTTCAATCATCTTTGTCCGACTCTGCATCAACTTTGGCCAATCACCCAGAAAATTATCCCAGTGTTGGCGACAAATGTCGTAATCAACTCTTATCCGATGTGCAGTGTGGCAAAAGCAATGCCCTGCACAAAATGCCAAGAATCTGCAGCAATTTGCCACTTGACTTTGCTCGGCGCTCAAAAATGTACGAACCTTGAACTTTCATTAACTTGCACACAACATCGAATTCCAGGAATTCAGCATTGCTGAAAGAGCATGAAGACTGAGTCCACACAGCAAAGTTGTGTCGTTCTTTGGCTGTCTTGCTGATCAACACAAATCAAATCTGTTTTCATGAAATGCTCTGCAAAAAGACCCAGCAGTCCATGTCCAAACCAAGTCTTTAAAGTGAATCAGGAAATTCTGCGATGTCCTGCGATCAAACCTGCAAACCTTGTGTGCATCTGCATGAGCAAGGAACGATTAACATCCTGCTCAAACGGCATAAAAGCTGTTCAGTGACCTCTCGCTCATGGAGGCCTCAGTGGATAAGGAGCTTGAGACATTCTTCAGACGAAAATCGCCCAAACTTCTCCTCAGCCTCCGACCCAGTCTGGAGGCCGCTCAGAGTCCTCAGGTTCAACAGTGGAACTAGCTTAGCACGTCTTAGCAGTACAAACAGTGGAGAATCGGTTTCATGACAGCGACTTTGTTTGCGGTGTTTTGATCTGTGATCCAAAAGAGAGGCAAACCCACAAGAAGCCGAACGAAGCACACTTGGCGCGCAACAGTCTCCGGAGGCTGGATGAGAACCTCGAAGGCTTTAAAGTGGGAAAGGACTCGAAAGTAGCTTTGTCAGGGATGCAAAAGTCCTGTAGACTTCGAAACGCTTGGGATTTGCGTACGTTTGCGTAGTGCACCTCACCTCTGCTGACTTTGGTGATGGAGATGGCCAAGCCATGGTGGGGAGAGGGGTCGATGGATTGACGGCCTGGCGAGGACCATTCGAAAATCATGATAAGTATGATAAATATTGTCATGATGATTGGATATTAGACTCAAACACATGTTGTTGAAGACGAATCATAAGGACCTTAGCCTTCAAAATCCGGAACATCTGCTTTATCACTGTTTGGCAAGGAAACTAATTTCAAGCTACAAGTACTTTGGTGGACGACCAAACGAATTGAACTGGGTGGCTGGGTGTACATACTTACTAAGGATTCTAATTGCCTCTGGACTCTGAACAATCTGCCCAGACCTGCGGTGTTGATTCTGGAGATGGCACCCACACCTGTCAATAGGATTTTGAGTGAAACCATAAATGCAGCATGTCTGCTGGCACATCAGCCATCAAGTCATCGAGCAAATCGGGGCCGGCGGGGCAAAGTTGTATTGCAAATTACGAGACGTGTGATCGATTCACCATGGTGACTGATTCAGTCATTCATTTCTAATGTAGGAGCAAGGATAGAGATAGCCAAGCCATGCCAAGCCTCTAACCTCAAGGCCCGAGATCTCATTCTGTAAATGCGTGAGCCTGGTGCTCGGGCGAAGAAGGAGTCCAAGCCCAGTCCTTGCACGACGAAACTGAACACGTCGTCACAAATGTGACCTGTCCAAATACCTCCGATCACTTTACTGTTGAAACCCCAATCGGTAATCCAAACGGCCTGGCCGCACAGCCTCGCTACCATTTAAAGTACAGTGTTCATAGCCATGGTCAAACAATCTTTGTGTGTCTGTGCATCTGAATCGTTGCGTGCTTGCAAAACGAGCTGGTACAAAGATGTTCCGAACGACGGGTGGTACGAAACGTTGTTGCTTCGTCTGAGTTCTTTTTGTCGACCCATGCCCCAAGACCTCCAGATTGAAGGCTCCATGGCATGAGGGTGTCTGCGTACTGGGAGAGATAGATGTCTGCAGAAGGAGCAAGTTATCGAGCTTCGTTTGGCTTTTTGCTTCCAACTCTGGCTGGATTGCAAGGAAGGCAGCTAACAAAATTGATAGCAACAAATCAAATCTGTATATTAGTATACATGTAAAAGTATATATACTGTTCGATCTGTTTAGAGAGAAATGCAGTAGAAACAACATTGGTGCCGAACTGCCCCTGCCTGAGATGTCTGGTTCCGTCTGGCCTTTAGCTTTGAATCGAATATATCCACCACGCACTGCAACGCCTGCAAACGGTCTTCAAAGACTTCACATGGGTTTGGTAGACTGAATTTGATTCTACACAAAAATCAAAACCAGCAGCCAGCAAAGCAACAAAACAGCTATGCAAGCAATGAGTCAACCAATTGGTTGACATCTTGAGTCAATAGATGAAGGACTGATGCCCCAACAAGAATTTGCTGGCCACGTTTGCTAGGATCGATTCATATCCGATTTTTGCTAAACAAAAGCTGCTCTTTCTGGGAGAACAAACTGGGCTGAGCTGCACTGCACCGCTAGGGAATAAATGTTGCCAAGCCTTTGGTATGTTTCGAATACTGATGCTGAACGTATTGGAACTTGACACATTCTCAGAGACGACCCATGGCAAAAGATTGAAATTGTGCCTCCTTTGATCTGAACATCATGTCCATCTGCTGAGGGCAGCAGCTCTCGCTGAAGGTGCACCGCATCTGCAAGTGTTTGATACAAACGTAGGGGTGTGGACAGTGGAATAAAGCCTGTTCAAACTTTCAATTGACAACGAAATGGACAAACGTGCATTTACGATCTTGTACGATCATGTGCGTCTGTATCCACAGTCCTGCCTTTTGACACTTGTTACTAGCATACTGTCTCAAACAGTGGAACTGATGTCCACCTTTGCCTGTGAAGGCCAAGTGCTTGCTTGTTTCTGATTCCAAGGGTGTTATGTATATATATACAATACATATATGTTGATGTTGTTCTTCTTCTTATTATCGTTCTTCTTCTTGTTCTTGTTGTTGTTGTTGTGGTTGTTGTTGTCCTTCTTGTTCTTGTTCTTGTTGCTGTTGTTGCTGTTGTTGCTGTTGCTGCTGTTGTTGCTGTTGCTGCTGTTGCTGCTGTTGCTGCTGTTGTTGCTGTTGCTGCTGCTGCTGCTGCTGGTGCTGCTGCTGCTGGTGTTGTTGTTGTTGTTGTTGTTGTTGTTGTCTTTTGAAGACCCGGGGGGTAGGCCATGTAGAGGTAGTAGCTAGAGGTAGCAAATAGTAGCTAGGCAGCTAATAGCTTAAGTAGCTACTACTTAGGACGCAGGATAGTTCACGCTTCCTTGAAGAAGTGCTGGCACTATTCATTTGGTTTCTAGATTTTTAGGGAAACTTAACACTGTGGGACTGTAGATGAGGCTCTGTCTATCAAACGTGTACAGTACGCTGATTGACTGTCATTGTGAGTTGGTCTTTCAGAATCATAGATTCATGTAGCTAGATTTATACTAAGGGCGGTACCATTTCGCGAGTGTAGTATCCATTCGTCCACAGCTCCTAGCAAGAGTGATGAGTAAATACATGCGCAAACATGCTGGCTTCTAGCCACTCCGCCTTGCGTTCATTGGCCACCTCACCAGCTTCCTGTCTGTGTTTGTGTGTCACATCTGCAAAGGGTAGCTTGGGTATGCACTTGCAAGTCTTTGCAGTTTTAAGATGCTGTGTAGGGACTAACGGGTCCTCTGTATGTCCATCATATTCCACAAAGTGATACTTCTGCATGTCCTCAAGCACTCAGCCCAGCCATAGGATCAAACATGATCAAACTATTTGTATGCACATGCACAATCACTCTCTCTATATATTTTATATATATACTATATCTTTTAAAGTTGTTATCATCACCCAATGAGCTTCACAAGCTGGACCTCCCAGGCGTAGTGGAAGTTATTCTTGTCCCGGCTAACTTTCCGATCCAACCTTGATCTCCCACTGCAATGCTCATGCAATGTGTTTGCTCAAATATAAAGTTATTGTCCCCTCAAAACACTTGGCTGCAAACAAGCTGAAATGTTCTCCGCCTTTGTGGATACACACAAAGTACCTTGGATTGAAAGTTGGGACAAAGAGTGCACGCGCTGCTTGGCTGGTCGGTCTCCAAGCCAGGCGGCTCTGCGAATCTGTTGCCGAGCACAACAGTGCGGAGCATCAGGGGCAAGCCATGTTCCAGCAAGTTCCTGGTCATGTTTTAAATGTTCGGTTTTTGAAACCTGAGTTAAAACTTGAACATCCCCAAAATGGCAAAGCACTCTGTAGACTGACACGTTCACATCCTACTCGATACTTGACAACAGTCTTGCCAACTAAGATTAAATACGTGTCCTGTTTCCTTAAAAAACTAGGAAGCAACTCATTGGTGCGAGCGCTTCTTCAAGGAAGCTCCTCACCCTCAGGCGGGGGGAGCTTCCTTGAAGACGCGTGAGCTATCCTGCGTCCTAGCTAGGAGCGAACTTCTCCTAGTAGCCTACTTCTCCCTTACTCAATTAAGTAGGTTCCTACTTGTAAGGGCGGGCAAAAAAATGAATCAGAACAACTATGAAGTCAGTTGGCCTTTTCACCGTGCATAAAGTCTCAACCTGGAAACAGCACAGATATATTCAATGAAACTTGAAACTGTTTCAGTTTTGTTGTTTGATGACGTTTGCAAATCTCTCAGAATCTTCTGATCAACTTAAAGCCAATCAGGCCACCAACTGCTTTTTCGATGTCGCCCTAGGACCTAGCTAGGAGGATGCCTCCAAACACTTCGATTTCAGGGAGTTCGCCACAAAGGAGCTGTGAGGCTCAGCCTTTGAAAATACACGTGTCACATGTTTGTTTAATGTGCGTCTTTCTGAAATCGCCGTCCTTCCTCTCAACAGTATGTTTTCTTTGTGCGAATCCTTCTGACAAGGACTTGGATTTTGACTCTCCCTGCAGTGCCCATCCACTCTTGTCTGGTGCTCATCGTCGCTGATCCCAGGGTAGAAGCATCCTGCTTAGCTTGTTAAGACTACCCGAAGCACAAGAGGAAAGCAGCAGCAAGGTGAACATATCAAGAAGCATAGAGTCATAGAGACTAATTACTCCATTCTAGCAGGCTCCCCATTACTGGTCCTCACAAGAATGCCTCTTCTATGAAATAAACCAAGCACAAATTTAGATTAATTACTTTAAAACCAGTGTCAGTGTCAGTGTTGATACTTTGCAAAACTGCACCGGAGTCCTGGGCACGTGGAGTCCCGCAGCTACAAACGACCAAGCTTTCATCGCAAGTGGAGATGCCTACAAATGTCAACAACAGGATCTTCGTTCGTGCCACCGAGGCTGTCGGACAGTGCAGTTAATCGCACAGAAGAGTCAAATCATGCACCTGCTGTGGAGTAGGTCATGCATTGCCTTGGTGAATGAGACAGATCTAGCCTAAGAATGGAAAGGAGCAATTTTCCAGAGTCAGAGGTGTCACGATACGACTACTAATGTTTTGGCATACTGTACTTTCAATGGTCTCTGTCTCAACGTTGTACTGCTCAACACAGACACATCAACATCATCACTCGAACATCTTGGACATGAACTCATCTGTCGTCATGCACAGCTCCTTGACCTTCCTGCGCAATGCTCATGTCACATGTCATCAAGACCTCCTGGTTAATGAATGGTAAAGTGCTGTAGAATTGATGCAAAACTACTCTCACCATGAAAAGCACATTTGACTTTGCTTTTTAAGGGACTTGTCCCTGGCTTGTAACCTCAAAGCAAAAGTCCAACACACCCACATTTGGTCTCGGCAAACATATCTGAGAGAAGAGATAAGAAGAGTCCAGTCAAAATTGACACTGAGCTCAGGTTTCAAGTTGAATCCATCCACTTATCTTTAGGTCTTATTCAGCGATCCAACCATCAGTTCATTTTCACGCGCTTTGCGATTTGTGTGAGGCTCTCCAGACTGAATGTTCTCCATTTCGTCGGAGTTTGCCGCTAAAGGTGCTGCATGTGGGTGCGGGTCTCCGACCAACATGCAGAGTCTATGCAATTCAAACAAATTAATTAGTTGGGTCACAGAAAGCCAGCAAATCAGCCAGGACAAATCTGATGTGCAGCTTTTGCGGCATTATGAATATACCCCTTCTGCTGCTTCTGACCGACAGGTCTATGTAGTACAACAAATTCCAGCGTCCTGAGGTACTTCTGATTTGCGGCCCTGTTCACGATTCCAAACGCAGATTCTGTGTCTCTCAGAGTCTGCCAAAAAAACAAATTAGTCAAAAGTGCAGGATCGTTCACTTTGGGTGCAGCCTCTGGCGTAGCGCGTTTCTGTTGCTTTAGTTGTCCGAATCCTCTGCTTAAAGCCGCCTTCGAATCACCTCACCTATAAAACTTCTCAGTCACTCACTTCAAGTTCTCTCTAGATCGGAAGATGTTGCGACTGCTCTGCCTATCATCTCTCCACAGCCTTCAAAGCCAGCTTTCCTGGCAGAAAATCATAGTTGAATCCATCTGTGAAGGGTGTCAGGAACCCAATGTTGAGTCTCAAGACGTTTCACGTAATTAACAGATGGTGAAACTGACCGGTGCACTGCATCCGAGACTAACTAGCCTCACGCCTGGCATGTGAGCAAAATCTCTTCATTGAGTTTGAAGTTGAAATGCACCTTGAGAAGAAGAACACCAGCATCAGCAAAGGAAAGCTCGCATGGAAGAATGTATTGAAATGTATTGAACACATGAGCTGAACCTGGGAATTTATGAGGAAAAGCCGTGTACTTCAAGCGCTTCCACACAATTCTACTCACCGCTTGTGGAAACGAATTACTCTACTTAAATAGTCTGTATACTGTATACAGAATAAACCAGCTCTGTGTCCAAGCTGAGTGGGCTGGGCTACTCGCGTGACAAAACAAAAGGTCATTGCTGCTCCTATCTCCAACAACAACAACAAACCAATGGTAGTGTGAAGGCTTTTGTGAGCAGCAAAACTCGATTGGCGAATTGACTTGGTACAACCGTTGGGCCCAGGAACAGGATTAAACAACACAGCTACATACCCTCTCTCAGACAATCAAACATAATTAAGCTCTTCCAAAACAATTTTCCTGTGCTGTTCAGGGCCCGTGATTGTCGGGAGGGCAACCTCTGAAATTGTGCAAATGTCTTTAATGGAATAAATACTAATCTTTTTTTCAATACAAATCTTTGTTTAATGTGCAAATCTTTGTTTAATGTGCAAATCTCTTTGAATTCACTTTCTCCTGTATCTCTCTTCTTCTTTTCCCTCGCCCTGTCTCACCTATTGACTTATGTTTCACGGCCTTGAGGTGCTTCAACGACGAACGCCTTGGTCAAGGGATGCGCAAGACACGTGTCTCAGCGTTTGTTGTTACATTTGGGTTTGACCCACAGCATTCACCATCTGACATCATCTTGTTTTAACCACTTGCCATACTTTGCAATGAGACTTTATCTGTTAAAACTGCTGAATCAGGCGCCTCTTGCTCTGTGGCTTCGCAGAGATGGCTGATTCAATAGGTGGTAGGCAAGGCAATGAACTGCTTCTGCCTGCACCAAATCCCTGCATGTTGCATATCAATTACATTGAAACACCATAGAACATGCGCATCAATGCGAACTTGTTGCACATATCACATATGCTCATGCTACCAAACTGGAGGCACACTGTTGCGTGAACACACTTAGGCACTTAGGGTGATGTCGATCGAAGGTCTGAGGTCGTCCAATTGGATCCACACCTAATGTAGGGAGCTTCGCAGCCTCCTTCACAACAGGGATTTGTAGGTGAAGTGCTGGGAAACCGTGTTTCAGTGTTGAAGACTGTGCCCCAACAAATCAGGTATGTGAAAACTAGACTCCTGCTATTTGGCCACAATGCAACCGACTCCTCACCCCAAACCTTCAAAATCCTCAAAGAATTGAGAAAGCCTTAGCAGCCTTAGCAAACGATTACAAGCAGTTGGGTAGTCCTGAGCCGTAAGGATCAGTAGTTGCCACTCAAAAACATAGAAGTTGCTGCGACTGCGTGCCTGCGACACTCCCCGCATGGGAGTCCGCTCTGGTTCTCCTGTATAGTAGGCGACTTGTCTCATTCATGAATAAATCACGGGATATCACAAGCCTCATGGAACGAAATGAAGGCTACTGAGACATGCTGAGACAAAATATCATGAAGTGAGGGTCTGTGATTTGGATTTGAGACTCATGATGACTCACCTGTCCTATGATGAACAAATATCGGCCCCATGTGTCCTGCAAATCGCTTGGCCAGTTTACTCATGGCCACGCCGCGGCTCTCTATCTTGAATCCTGGAGGTGCGAGCCAAGGATGCCACATGACAATGATACCACAAGAAACTAAGTGTTGAAGCTTGCAGAACTTACGGCAACCAAAAGTGCAACGTTGATGAGCTGAAATCGTTTTGAGGAGCACTACAAAGTGTTCATGCCAATCTTACGCCTGCGCGGAATAGCAAGTTCTAGATCCAGCCTCCTGGATGGAAAAGTAGGACGCTGGAGTCCTGGAAGGTGAAGAGCACAACATGACTTCATATGAGCGTGTTCATGCTTATTCCGTTTCGATCAAAACAAAGATCTACAACGAAGCCGCGCAAAAATATGCACATTTGGGTCTACTCCTGCCGATGCAACTGGAGCCCAGGGAACTCTAAAGGCCTCAAAACGCCAGGCCCAGCTCCAAAACGCCAGGCAGAATTGCTTCAAATCTTGAAACCCCAAGTCCGGCAAAGTCACTTGGCTTGAAAGTCAGGCAAGTTTGGCGAAACACCGGCAAACACATAGAGTGGTTGTCGCGCCTTAGGCCTAGTTTGGGCTTGTCTGCCCTGACCTGAGCTGCACCCATCGAGATCCATGGAGCATGTTGAACACTTTGGTTTTCTTGACGCTGACCTAATTACTCTAGTAGGACCTACTCCTGATCTCACCTGAGAAGGATAGTGCGAAAGCCAGCGTGTGACGCAACGGTCTCTTTTCTCAACAGCAACGGCCCCCGGCCGTCTGCGCAGGAGCTTCCTTTTCCCATAATAAGTCACAGGCTGCCGAAATGGAGCCGCATAGACCCTCATCTATTTATATACTGTATCTATATACTTGAAAAAGAGCGCTTTGCATGCAAGCGCCCAAGAGAAACTGTGCGCATAGAGACTTACAGGCCGAAACTTCAACCTGTAATGCTCCCGAAACGACCATTTATATAATTACTGACTCGAAAACGAATAGTTTGCGTGCAAACACCAAAGACAATTTTGCGGATAAAGGCTCACGGGCTGAAACTTCAACCCGTAGTGCTCTTGAAATGGAGGCGCATAGACCCTCAGCTACTTATTACTTGAAAAAATCCTTTGCATGCAAACACCAAACAAAGGATGTCAGCCATCATGATCGCATAGCTCCACAAAGTGCCCACGTCTATCCATCGTCCTTCCCTCCCTCCATCCATCCAATCCACCCCTCCAAGCATCCATCCAGTCATCATCATTCGTCCATCCACACAGTCCCCAGCTTTTCACCATCACCAGTACTGCCATCCCCATAACTCACTTCGTTCGTAAATATCAAACTTCAGCCTAGCCTGCCCGCTGGCTTTCGCATTTTAGTGAAACTCCCATACTAACTAACTGACCCCTCCCTTGTGCCTGGGAAGTGAAGTATTCCTTCTGCCTCGCCATGGAACCGGACAAGCGGATGACAAGCACAAAGGAAAAGAGTCGGATCTGCCATGATCTGAGCTGGATAGTTTCCCGGTTGGAGTAGGACTTGTGAGGTCAGTTTCAAAGCCCCCCATTGCACGTGGCCAAAAGAAGGCTCTCCAGGACCCCTTGGACATCTTGACTGGCACACCATTGTAGTTGCGGCCTGCGTTTCTTGACACCATACACATTTGAGCCACGAAGCTTCAGGGAACAAACTCAAACATGTTCGTGAACGAGTGCAGGCTGGCGATTGTTTCTTAAACATAGTCTGCAGCTGGATGTAGCTGGCTGAGTTTTGCGGCACAAGTAGAGCTTGATGTGCCATTTCGTTGTATACAGAGTTCAAATTCACAATAGTTACAAAAACTGTTAAAACAATCCCAATTGCGTGAGATCTGAAGTGCTGCCTCCTCACTTCGCATTGGTCTTCAGCACCTCATTCTTGGCAAGCGCGGTTTTATCATGTTGTATCATGTATCTTTCTTCTCATCAAACCTATCAAATGAACTGAGGTTGGAATGGTTTGACTTTCTTGTCAACAAACATGTGCAGGCCGAACGCAGCTTCCGTCTATTCTTAATGCGGTGCATTCTGCACGTGTCTTTTTGTCTTGACCGATTGCAGCACGTTTCGTGGCCCATCTTTCGCACACCACCTGAAGGCCTAACCACAGCAACCAAGCAGCGGAAGCCAAGCGGCCTCAAGGCTGGCTCCATCCTACGAGCGCAGTAGCAGAGTTACTAGCATACTATCAGGCCCATGAGAACCTGCGGAGTTAATTTTGCGCTGGATGACGTGGTGACATCCAAGCATGGCCTGCGTGCAACTGGGTGAGACATCCGACAGTACCTTCAGGGCCACTCCTCAGGACCTTCACGCTGGATAATCATGGCATCTTTGTCCATAAAGCCTCAGTTCCAAATCAGTTGCGTACTAAATGCTTTCACCTCATCATGACTCATCATGTACTACATGCATCTACATGCGTCTTTTTGTCTGGAAAACATGGTCAGCCAAGATGAAGGCAGCACGATGCATCCACTTGCATTGCGAGGCACGTGCAACAGTGTTCAGCATCTGCAATTGAATCGCCTCAACAAAAAGACTCTCATCATCTCTCATCTATATAAGGATAATAAGAAGGACAGGAGCCTCAGGAGGACACTTATATAGCAGTTTTCAAGACATGAGCTTGGATACTGACCTTGAGGCCCTGTTCTTCTCCACTCTGGCAGGCAATAATTAACAATTGTAGATCAAATACAGCGACCAAAGGTCAATGAACATGTGATACTGAACGTTTAAACATGTTCAAACCTGCATATGTGCTGATAGAAATAGCACACTGGCTGGGCTCTTCTCTTTAAAGAAACTGAACAAATAGGTTCTCCCATCCCTGCCAGGTCATGCCAGGTCCAGGTCCCAGCATGTCCCAGCAGGGTCCCTGCCTTGAGGTGCTCATTTGCCTCTTCTTGAAGTTGCACCATCTCAAATTGACAACGTCCGACATCTGGAACCTTTCGACGAAGTCGGTCAATAATGCTGGCCTGAGACGGCGCCAAGTGGTCTATTGCCTTGTGGCTGCACAGCCCATGTTGGGCAGTGCGAGTTGGCCGGGGATCCTTTCACTGGGGAGCACAGTTACAGTTCATCACAACTTCCAACTGAAATCATACCAGCGTCAGCCCTGTGGATCTTATGCCCAAATAATCAACGACTATCGCACTGCCGAACTCCAATGGCTTTTGAATAACACTGCGTATCAACGTTAAGGATACAGTATGCCCCCAGAATTCCGAGGCGAGTGAGTGCACACTCTTGAACGAAATCATAGCCAGTAGGTATTCCTTCGAGAGCGAGACCCACTTTTGCTTGATGATGAAGCATCGGCTGTGGCGTTGCAATGTTATTGGAGACTGTGGAAAGCACGAGAGTTGTGTTGGGCAATGGCAGCCATACATGACCAACCATCAAATAACTATTTTTGTGAACAAAAAAGTGAAAAACAAAAAAACATGCAAAACAAAAGCAAATGAACATGCAAAAGCAGCGCAATTTGCTTTGTTTTTGCATTTGTTATGCTTTCTTTTCTTGCTTTTTTCCTGGTGCCACTTCTGCACTTATGAGAACTTTTACCCGTCAGCAATATTTGCTGTACGCTCCTAGGAAAAAAGCGAAAACAAAGCGAATAAAATGCAAAAAAAACGAAAAACATATGAAAAAACAGTGAAAACACGCGACAAACACGCACAGCTACATTTGTTTGCTTTTTTGTTTGCTTTACCTTTTGCTTTTTTTGCTTTATGACATTATTTTGGCTCCTTGTATCTATAGCTGACGCGCCCGACTCAACACGAGAGGTGAAAGCGATCTCACGGAATTCTCAGTTGCAATGCTCTGGCTTTGCCCGTGCCCACCTTGTGTCTGAACTGACATCACCAGGGTTCTTCGTGCTTGTTCAATCATCTTAGGGTGCTCGCACGTACATGATAAGAAACAAAACACACCTCGCAGGAGCCATTTTGCATTTTGCGCATTTTGCGACTGTTTCGACGACTGTTCACATTTGAATCGGACGGGCGCTGCCCAAAGAACGGAAGAATCAGCAACCAACCGGTACGAGTAGTTTCGGATAGGCTGCATCTGGGTTTACGGCTCAGGGGAAAAGAAATAACATATTCTGGTGGTTGTGGCTGCAGTGGTGCTTGTTGGCTCTTGCAGGAGTAGTAGCGGCTTCTTTGGTGGCTGCTTCAGATGGTTCCTCTCCCCTGACACGGTTGGTCAGGTACGGTGGTGGAAGAAAAAGTTGTTCTTGCCATGTTGAGGGCTGGAGCTCCAGCATCAGGCCTGAAATACTTGGTAAAGCGCTGTGGTCCAGCATTGCGGCCGGAAAAAGGCCACCAAAACCCCGAGCCATTTCCTTGCGCCACGGGTTTCCCGTGGTACGAAGGCGCAGCAAGTGTGGTGATGCGCGTGATTTGTGATGTGTTCAAAGCGATTGCATCATGGCACAAGATTCTCTCAGATCACCTACACCCCACCTACGGTTAAAACAAATCATGCCTTACGGTCTGGAAACTACCAATTTCCACACACCTTTCACCTTTCTCGCAAAGAATGATGGATACCTGGTTTCCAAATGTTGTTAGGGAACAGCAATACTTTGGAAGATCAAGTTCGATGCATAGGATTCTGCTCCTGCCTCCGATAAAAAAGATAAACAGGTCTCCTACCAAATTACTATATAAGTTTCTGAGCATAGATCATTTCCAAGCAAGTCACGGTCGTGAATCCTGAGATACACAAAAGGAGCCACCGCTGTAATAGCTCAAAAACGTGATTGCTGAGTTGACAAATGGACAGGAATGAAATGTCAGTATCGTGAGCCAGGTTTCTGCGCCACTCAAAAAGGATATCGCGGCACACTGCATGCATGTTGCCCAACTGAACAGCTGCAACGCCCTTTTGCACTTGCCTCGGAAAAGACTGTGCAATAGTCCCACATTGCATGTTGGCCTTTTCATGCCTTTTGTCGCATGACAAGAGCAACGGATGTGCTACTTGTTGATGTCCAATTGTATAATTACAACATGTACTCATGTACTCGCTTCAAAAGCAATCTTGCAGAGGTGCTTCAAGAGGAGAAGCTTTTGTTTTGTCAAAGCTTCCTAGGCTGAGCAGTGGCAGCAAAGCAGGTCCTTTAGCATCTTTACCTTTCAATTGATTTTCACATATTTTCACTAGACAGGCAATACGAACACGACCGATCAAGCTATTGAAATTGGGTCTCCTCCAGCTCAGGTATCTTTTTCAGCCTCTCTTGAGTTTCCTGCAGGCTTTGTAATCAAAACTTCTGGACGAAATTGGCAGCACGAATGCCCATCTCACAAAAACATGGGCGAATCATGGCGAATCGTTTCGCGTTTGCGAGTTTTGATGTGTCGCATCGAGGTCGTTCTGGACTGGACATCGCACACAACAGTCCTGCAGCTCTGTCTCTACAGCCTCTCGGCGTTGCACCTCCGTTAAGAGATACAACGTTTGGGGATATTGTTCCTGTTCTACACTGGTTGTTTTCTCAGGCAGCTTCAACAGCCTCTCAGTCCCATTTAAATAAAGAGTTGCGATTGCTGCTGTACATTGCCGATTGGCTTTGCAATCCATAAAGGATGTGGTGACATCGCATGGCCAGTGTTTGGCTTCACACTGGAATTGGCTGGAGCGGATATCGTCTCTCCAACTCCGCCTTGGGGATTCCCTTCACATAGTCATTTTGGCATCGCATGGCCGTGTCAACATCCTCGTAGCTCTGACCTGTGGAACACACATAGATAGAGGTACCCCAGGCCAGGTTCACCGTGCGTCTGAGGCCATTCTTGTACCTCGCAACAACTGGATAACAGTAACCTCCTGCACGTGCTTCCCCTGGCAGGCTCGGATGCTCAATCTCTTTGTAGTCTCTTGATTCTGAGATGCAAAAGGTGCCGTCTCCATTGTCTTCTTCGACTGGTTCAGGTTCGTTTGTCGCCTCTTCGACAAAACGCGGGTCCCATGCAAAGTCATGAATCATGTCGACAATCCTGCCAGGCAAGCGTTTCCGCAACTTTCTGATCTCTTTTGCCACGGGCGCATTTCCATCCACTGGCTTCACCCATTCAATGCTCATGCAACTTTGTTTCCGTCTAGAAAACACACTGCCCATGCTGCCCATAGCGAAGCCGTCAGTTGAGAGGATCCAAACAATTTCTGAAACGTGTCGATGCTGTTCAAAGTAAGCATTTCATTCTGTCGATGCATTTCTTGGAGCACTACGTTTCTTGGAACGTGTCGAGTGTATGGCTTTACTTGGGTCGCGTGTTGAAGTCACAAGGTCGTGCTGAGTCTTGAGGATTCCTGGGTGCTTATATCAATGTCGATATCCGTTGTCTGCAATGTCTAAAGGCTGAAGGGCCAAACAAAAGCAAACAGCTTGCAACTGAAAGGACACCCCAGTGACAGTGGCATGCTGACTTTCCGTATGATGTCAGTACCACAGCAGCATAAGGCAGTACACAGCTGGAGCTGTGAAAAGCACCATTCTTTTCCCGTGAAATAGCATCCATTTCCAGGCCTCATTGTCCAATTTGTGCTCAAGTTCTTTCAGCTTGGTCAAGTTCTCCTGTGAGCATCTAATCAATCACATGTTCAAACAGAAGTACACCACCACTCCACTCCACCCAAGCCTCACTCACCCCTATATACCCGCCTTGGCATATCTCCGCTGCACATCCTTCTCCTGAGCGCACTTTGGGCAACTCCAAGCCTATGCCAATCCACATATTCAGAAAGGCCTTCCATGTGCTATTCAAGTGAGAAGCAATCCAGGCAGCATAGGGAGTACCCACCCAAAGCGCCGCAGTTTCTTCAGGTACATCGGAGTTGAAGTCCTTAGCCAACTCAAGTTAAAAGAGTGAAGTTGAAGTTGCTAAAACATGTTAAAGGGAACCTTGTTGAAGCATTTGCTCTTGCCAAGGGACCACATGGTACTTGTAGTGACTGCTTTGGCGATCTTTCTTATTGTTTGAAGGTCCGGCCCTCTCCCAAAGTCCTGAAACGTCATTGCGACCAACAACTATGCGCTTGCTGAACGTGTTGCTTTTACAGCCGATTGTAGCTATATTGATAGGCTGTAAAGGCCGCATGCATAGAAGGAAGACTTTTGTGACACGAGCGCAGGTTTGTCGGGGTCCTCCAATGCATGCGGTTTGCTCAATTTCATGTAGCTTTAATTCATTTGGTGTAGTAACAAGAATCTACTAGGAAGTGATTATACATACGCTCTGATGCGGAACGATCTGCATCATGGCGTCACATTGGTTTGATCACAGCCATCGACATAGCAAGACAGTTCATCCTGAGTCAAGACCGTCGCTGATTATCGTGTTGTCCTTGGCCAAGCATTCAATCGGCCACAATGAAAGTTCCACTCGAATTACTGCTGCAATGCCTTCTCAATTGCATTCAAAATGCTGCAATGGACTGCACCACTAGCCACCACTAGCCAGGAACATCGAATCGCGCGAAATGTTCCAAGAATGAATGACTATATAGTTACAACATGTTGTAAAAATGCAACACCTACCCCGTGCCACCAGTCACGATTGGAAGCACTTGAAGCACTTTTGGAGATCTTAGCGTGAATGTTTGGCGCTGGATAGACTATCCATTGCGAGTGCGTATATGTGCGAGCAAATAAGGCGGAGTCGAATGAAGTGGCTCAAAGAGCCGCCGAGACTTTGGCTTTAGTACAGTTTTTCTATGTTTTTCTTGTTCTTTTTTTTCAGACTCTAGTTACTTGTCTATGTACTTCACCTAACTACCATGTCATCATGCGCGGATGTAATGTACTCTCTTTTTGCGGAGCAAACTGATGCATTTACATTCTCAAACATGGTTGGCAATGGCAAAGTTTCCAACACGCCTCCGGAAGCTTCGTGCAACAGTGGACGGTTTAAACAACTCGCTTACTGGATACCTTTGCAAATTGCAAATATCCCCTTTGCGGTGTTGGGGAAGAATGTTGGAATCTTTTGGGACAAACCCAACTGCAGAGTCCTGTGCTGAGATTAAGTGAGAGTTCAATAAAGTGTTCTATCTTTTCCAAGAAGTCAGGAACAAGAAGCTACTAGGGGCTCCTGGCCATACTACTAGGAGCAAGGACGCTACTAGGGGCTCCTGGCATCGCTACTAGGAGCATTCTTACTCCTAGTAACAAGAAGCTACATTTGACCTTCCCAACTTTGAGCTTAGCCACTCGGAGATGTGCTTCTCGAGTGACTTGAGCGCCGGCCCCCAGAACGGCCATGCCACGGGAGGCCATTGTCTTGCGCTGCATGGCAAGCGTGGTTTAGGAAACGTTAACAAGGATAGCACAAGAGCAACGATCAGAACTTCATGTGCTTAGAATTGGATCTGTATGATTCATCGTGTAAAGCAGGTATGTTGATGTGTACACATCTACACGATACAGGGCACAATAGACTAGACCATCTGCTGCTTAAGTGATGTGGTGTTTGGAACCTACGAGTAGCCTGTGAATCCAACACTGATGAGCAAGACGGTCAGAGGTTGTAAAGACTGCTTTCTGTGACCTTCGCAAAAATGGTGAGACCACTTAAGGCAAGCGAACCTCTCCATCCAGTGTTGCCCGCTGAGGTGCAGTATTGGGGTATGGTGGTGGAAGGATTGAATACTGCTAGAACATGTTTTGAAACGATTCCTTGCCCAAGTCGCTACGGGAAAAGTCCTTTAATTGTTGTGTGTGTCACATCCCGATTCCACAGGATTTGTTAGCCAGTTTCTGTCAACCTTCTGCACTTGGATAGACTTCCAGCATGTGAGCTGACCGAAAGATTGAGGGCTTGACAACAATGCCTGGAGGACAGCTGCCCAAAGGTGCTCCTTGGTCATTAATCAGAGGAAATAACATCAAGAGACTGCTCGGATAATGCAGGCTTGCATCGTTCGATTTCTAAAGCTCAAAACATGCCTTTGCGTCTTTTTTGCTTTTGTTGCTTCTGAACTCCAGTTGCAGTGAGAAAGTAACGCCTGGAGTCACTAAATTTTACTGAGCCCTTACTATTCTGCTTTGCATGGAAACATAATGCCCGTCTCTCCAAGCGGTGAAACTTAATTAGGCGGGAGAATACCGGTAATCCTCAATCCAACAAGGTGAGAAAAAGCCACAGGGACAAGAGGCTTCGGAGGCTTCTTGGGAACATTTCGTCTGCAGCTATGGTGGTTTGCTAGAAGGCCCCTTGCCCACATAGATGCTGCAAATGTCAACGTTGCAACACACGATGCTGAGATATTTTGAGTTTGTATGCCACAGTATGTGCAAGACTGTCATTCTAGGTAGATGTTCCACAGCATCCAGTCCCTAATCGCCCCGGCCTCAGACCATGCTCGAACATCACAGCTACACATCAGTCACTCATGAGGGTAGACTGCACACATCGCGGAGCTGTCAGCGAACATGTTGAATGTAGGGATTGAGCACTTCGATGGACTGAGCAAACAGGCATCCCCCAACCGACCTGAACGTGTGCAAACAACACTGTTGAATCACAGTTGAATCTGTGCCAAAAACAGCTCGTTTGTCATATTGCCAAGGGGCTTCACATCATTCACGGTTCACTTCATTCAGGGTTTCAGAAAAGGCAATGGCCAACGAGAAGACCCAAAATGGCCAACCAAATCTCCAGCTGAAGACAGCTCGGAGCCATTTTCACTTTCAGATCCAGCACCTCAAGGTGTCCCAAAAGGGCAAGGATCTTGACTGCTCAAAACAATACATGCTGTGATCATAATAGCATTCGCGGAGACTCGAGAATACCCAGTACATCCCAGTACCACAAAAAGGTTGCAACTGTTGCATTTCGTACAATTTACTATCACTGACTGGCCAGGCCTTAAAGGTGCCTTCAAAGATGTTGCGGAACTCAAAGGCTGACATACCCCAAACGCAGCATATTGACATAGGCATCATCACCCACTCGACCATGCTGCTTCGCACTGTCAACTCAGGATGCGTGTAAGCATCTGTGAGCAATGCTGCAAGCACTGCTGGGAAGAGCACCAAGCGGCAACAAATGTATGCGAGACTCAACATAGCTGAGTTCAACTTGTACAGAAAGCTCTGCTTGAGTTGGTGCATGTTGGAGCAGCACTTGACAAGCTCAATGTTGGCCAAGAACATGTTGGAAAATTCACAAAGACCTGCTGCGGCACCCCAAAAGTGCATGCTGCCCTTGAGCAATCCCGTGCCATAAACGAGGATCACCATAACGTGGTGCACAAGGATCCTCTTCCGGGATGCATTCATTCCTTTCCAGAAGAGGAATGGAATGTGGCAAAAGAGTCGGGTGCACAGGAGAAGGCATCCATGAATCGATGACCAACAGGTACCGTTCCAACGAGCATCAACACTTGTGGATAAGATCTGGATGGATCCAAAGGCGCTGGGAAGCCTCAGCTTCACGGGAGTCACTTACAACAAAAATCAGCAAAAGCTCCTAGTAGCGTCCTTGCTCCTAGTAGCGATGCCCTTTGCTCCTAGTGGCTTCCTCTACTGAATCTACTGGTTATCAGTAAAAAATGTTCCTAATACAATATCGGTATACACTATCAGTCCTTTGTGCGAGGCGTTGTGGCCTTGCTGCCAAGATGCAAAGAAATGCTGAAGAGGAGTAAGCAAATCGCATCCGCTGCCCATAGGTCACCTCCAGGTTCTCCACGTGCCTGCTTCGGATCTCTTGTTCGCGGGAACAAGAGCCACGAGAGTGGGATGGCTACAATCTGTCCGATGAAGCAAATCCCAATATAGATCATAGTCAAACGCAGCAACTCTGCGTTCTGCATGTTGTAGCGGATCTGAAGTGGATACGCGTCCGCTGGCACATCCATGGCACCCTCCATGGCTCAACTTCGATTGTGGGCCTTTGAAAAATGCGCCGTCTGATCCCAGCCGGCAACGAGTTCGTACAAGGGATCCGTCTGAAGATGTGCGCGATGATTGATTGCAACTTACCTCAATAGGCGATACACTGGCCTCATAGCAAAAGATGGTGTCAAGCACTAGAAATACAGAAGTGAGAGTGTCCACAGCATATAGTTGCTGATGTTGCTGGTGCAACGTTTCGTTGGACATCTGGGGCATGTTTCCACGTCGCCATCTTCAGAGTCTCCGTCGGACACCATGGAACCTATAACTCGAAGGTGAAGAACACAATTGGCAAAGAATTGCATGCTTTGGAGAGCGTACGTTAGTTTTTTTCTTTATCAAACCTTTAGATGTGTCTTCTTTCAATTCGGGATCTTAAGAAACAGAAAACCATGTCAGCCCTGTTCCGTGCTTTCCTTGTCATGCCTCCTTGACATTCTCCTGCAGCTCCAAACTTGCAGTTGCACCCATGGCCTTGCTGGCAGCTCTGCTACGTTATGCTCTTTTGACGTGGCATCTGAAAAGAATTATCAGCGGGCACTGCTCAGGGCAGTGCAGGCGTACGAAAACACGGTCGGACACTGTCCAAGCAATCAAGTGTCCAGCCCAAAAGCTCAAGTCCAAAACCGTTAAGTATTGTCGGCAGTGCTCTTACAAACAAGACTATCAAGAAGGCTCTTCGAAAAGAGAGTCCCTCTTGCGATTTCCCTTGCCTTTTGGCACGCAAGAACACTTTCATTTGCTGGTCACCTAACTAGTGGGATTGGCTTGTCCTGGTCACAAACTCAGGTCAGGCTTCTCCATTTGGTGTGTCAACTTACGAGCGAAACCGAAGCAACCTTGTGATGTAAGGCTATTGAAGCGAATACCCACGACACAACTTTCATATATTACGTGGCAACCATCTGGGCCTCAAGATTGCCTCGGGATCAGTTTCTATATTGCAAAAGAGGCCTTGTGCCTCATAGGGTTGGACGCGCCCACAGTCTCACTTGAAGCACAACGTGAAGATGTATCAACCAAGCAATCAATCACGTGTCTCCGCGCGCTTTGCATCGCATTGGATGCTGCTACGACAGCTGCTACAAACGTAGCACGCTCAGGTGAGGAGCTCTGATTTCGTCCTTGTGAACTCGTCAAACGATTACTCGGATGGCACATCAGAAACTGCTTGACAACTCTTCTGTCAGCATCTCAACTGTCAATAAAGATCTTGGATCGTGACATATCATGAGTATTCATGAGATTTCATGAGTCATATCGCTGCTGCCAGAACCCCACAACATCCCACGACTGTGCCCCGGGTCCTCAAACCAGCATGCTGCTGCCCAACAGCTTTTGAGGATTCTGGCAGGGTCTGGAATTACAGGAGGTTTCAGGACAGTGCGTTCATAGGTTATCTAAGTTGCTTGTTTCCTTCACTGAAACCTGCAGACTATGTTCAGGACCACGCGGCAAAGTTGTAGAACGTCGAGCAGCAAACAAATCCCAGGAAACCTCCCTTTGTTGAAAGCTATGGGCCCACCTTCCGCCAAGAGGGCGCGTAATTGTCGTGACGACCGGCATGATTTTCAAGCCTTGCAGCAAGTGCTTCGCTTCTGTGATTGTGCCGTGGGCTTCAACTGGCTTCAATTCAATAAACAGTAATTTGATAGGACAATACCATAGCCATATCCACCTTATCTAGCCCGCACTCGTTCTATTGCTTATTGAAGCACTTTTGAGCAGGCGGCCAGGCAGTTGCCCACGAGTTGAAAGTACATGCTGAGCACTCCACACAATTGAAATTCACAGCCCAGAAACCTGGTCTTGTTCGCAAAGTTGTCGAGATGCTTCTTCCCGTGTACAGCCTGCAAGTGCCAAGCAATCTTCCAAACATCATTCCCCAAAGTTCCCTCTACTCCAAGCAGCCTCTGTAGACTCCCAAGTGCACAGGCCCACAAAGTGGTCCTGTTGCTTGTGTGTTCTATGTCTTGCATGCGGCATTTTGAAAAACTCCCAAAGGTCACGCAGGTCGGGTGAAACATCCTTGCACATGCCCCAATTGGTTGAAACACATGATCATCCGCAGTACATTCGCGTAGATTCCATAACAAGCTATTAATATAGATATTTATAAAATAATGTAGAATATGCCTTTGTCCGGCTAGGTCAAATGCACGGGTCAATTGAGTGTGCTTCTGAGAGCATTTTCTACCCTCGACGTCCCAACAACATGTTGAGAGCATTCTATCTTGGTAGGTGGTCTTCAGCTCGAGCAAGGGGTTCGAACCTAAGAGCTTTTGATGCCAAGCAAATGCAATTCTGCCTCTTCTATGACCTTTTATCTAAACAGTTTCTCGAGAATGCTTGCTTTTTACATGTTTAACATCACCTTGATTTCCTGCTGAAAGTTGCCTCCCAACATATTCAAGACTTTGCTCGTGAGATCGATACTCTGGTTTCATTACCTGATAAAAGGCCAAAGAACACACGGTCCTGGCCAGTATTTATGAATGACTCCACGTATGTTCGTAGACCAGGGTACATCATAAGATTCGATTCAGTCAGGCGTTCAATGGTCAAAACAGGATGGTATAGTGACTAGTAGCTTCTTGCTACTAGTAGTAATGGCCTCCAACCTAGAAGCCTTTGTTACTAGTAGTTTCTTGTCACTAGTAATAATGCCCTGGCTACTAGTAGCTTAGGTATATACTTCGCAAACAAACATTGCAACTGAGAAAAGGAACCGATACTCTCGAAGAAGCCTTCATGAGAAAACTGAACATCTCATTCAATCAAAATGTCCGGTGTGGGATACCTTGTGATCTAAGCTACTACAAGTACACTCTACTATTCTATTCTGGCCGAAACATATTCTAAAACAGGACAACAACTTGCTCCAACCTGCTATGCTCTTTTTAGACCTATGATGTGGATGTGGATCAAGTATAGTCCAGGACCGAAAGTTAGAATGACGGTTTGGGAAATATCAATGCCGATTTTAGATGATATCAGCTGTTTACAGGAAGGATGATCAAGGATGCCAAAATCATGACATCATGACCCAGATAGAATGCCGTGGCACCTGTAAAATCCACAAAAAAGAGCAAAACAAACCACCCTTACCACAGAGCAGACAGATAGAATGCCTTTTTATGATTTCTTATATGTGTTGATATGAGTTCATCGCTTGCCCACAAAAAGAACAAAAGAGAACGACCCTTACGACAGATCAAACAAATAGAATGCCTGTTATGATGCCTTATATGTGTTGATATGAGTTCATCGCCATCGCCAGCTTGCAAACGGCTCAGAAGTGTCAACGCAATGCACATGAAACATGCAAATAGGATAGGTTGCAAGCCATCATACATTGCCCAGAAACACCTCATTGGGAAGCATTCCAACTGTGTGTTCCATCCTTCCATCCATCCATCCATCCGCCTACCCCACCCACCCCATCCATGTCCATCCATCCAAACATCCATCCATCCATCCATCCATCCATCCATCCACCTACCCACAAACCCACTTCCATCCATCCATCCATCCATCCATGCATCCATCCACCCTTTCCATCCATCCATCCATCCATCCACCTACCCACAAACCCACTTCCTTCCATCCATCCATCCATCCACCCACCCACCCATTTCCATCCATCTCCATCTATCCATGACCATCCACCCATTCATCCAACCAACCTTTTTGAAGACCCGTAGGAGGAGGCATTCCAACTGTAATTGGTTGTGTTTTTGTCAGTGTTTTTTGATGTTATCGGTTAATGGACACCGCCTAGAATCAGCCAGCATTCTAACTGTACAATACATCACAAATAACAGGCAAAAAGCACGTATTTCTCATGTGTTTTCTTTAAAACACTCGTTCAGTACGGCATTCTAACTCATTCAGTACGGCAGTCTATCTCTGGTCATGAAAATTTTGGGAGACCGCACGCCATTCTAACTTTCAGTCCTGGACTATAATTACTGTCCCCATGGAAGGGAAAGTGCAACTAGCACACAAATCCTGAGAAATGCTCTAGGTCATCTAAGTTCCTAATCAAAGGAAGTTTAGTGTGCAAAACTTCCGTGTTACGGACATTCAACAGCTGTTCAACCACCACTCATCATACACCACTCATCATACACCACTCATCATACACCACTCATCAAACACCACTCATCATACACCACTCATCATACACCACTCATCATACACCACTCATCATACACTACTCATCATACACCACTCATCATACACCACTCATCATACACGACTGATCACACACAACTCATCATACACCAGTCATCATACACCGCTCATACACCAGCTCTGGTTTCAACAGCTCAAGCTCCAGGCAACTCCAGCTCCAGGTGCCGATTTCGTGGCAGGTGCAGCACTTTGTGAACCTCCATGCGCAGATTTCGTGGCAGGCACAGCACTTTGCGAACCTCCATGTGCAGATTTCGTGGCAGGTGCAGCACTTTGTGAACCTCCATGTGCAGATTTCGTGGCAGGCACAGCACTTTGTGCACCTCCATGTGCAGATTTCGTGGCAGGCGCAATACAAAATGCGTTGTGGAGAGATAGCGAACGCACGAAATGCTGTATTTTTCAATGGAACCGGTGGCTCCGAAGCTGGCAAGTCAAGGTCTGCGGAACGACGGTTGCGAGACGGTCTCGGGTCATTCTCGGATCATTCTTCGTCCCTCCATTGGGATTAGAGTTTTCACTTGTTTCTTGAAGTGCAGATTTCGTGGCAGGCACAGCACTTTGTGAACCTGCATGTGCAGATTTCGTGGCAGGCACAACAATTTTGTGAACCTCCATGTGCAGATTTCGTGGCAGGTGCAGCACTTTGTGAACCTCCATGTGCAGATTTCGTGGCAGGCGCAGCACTTTGTGAACCTCCATGTGCAGATGTCGTGGCAGGTGCAGCACTTTGTGAACCTCCATGTGCAGATTTCGTGGCAGGTGCAGCACTTTGTGA